AGAAGACCAGCTCTGAGCTAACATCTATTGCCAATCCTCCTCCTTTTTTTTTTTCCCCAAAGCCCCAGTAGATAGCTGTATGTCATAGTTGCACATCCTTCTAGTTGCTGTATGTGGGACACGGCCTCAGCATGGCCAGAGAAGGGGTGCATCGGTGTGCGCCCGGGATCCCAACCCAGGCCGCCAGTAGCAGAGCGTGCGCACTTAACCGCTAAGCCATGGGGCCGGACCCTCTCACCTCTTTTTCAAAATATTTTTCACGTACATTGAACTGGGTGAAGCGAGGCTTTAGAGAGACATACTGATAGATCAACAAGAGTCTGCTACGACGTCTTAGTAAAGACGCAGTGTGGCAATACATGAGCATAAAGTCATAATTATAGATGTTTATTAAAGGCTGCTATGTTGCAGGCTTTGGGCTAAGTAACTTGTAAATATTATTTCATTTAATCTTCATGAAATACTGTGAGTTAGATATTATCCCCATTTTATAGACTTTAAAACTTATCTTACCCTTTTTATTTATTTGTTAAAGATTAAAATCTTCTTCCTTAACGTTCTCTAATTTTTTCCCTAATACTCTACTCTTCCATCACATTGCTTTATTATTCTAGTGTTAATTATTTTAATTATGCTTGTTTTCAGCAATCAGAAGTACAGAACTAACAATATCTCTGATTTGCTACAGTGGGGTCTGGAAACAATTGCTATAACCCTCGCTGAGAATTTTTATGTACAGGACACAGGGACTTGTACCAACAATGTAAAGACACTGCAAGTACGGCTTTTGCACTAGTGTTATCACTTTAAGTACTAAAATCAGTGGTTCTCAATTTCTTTTCTTTTCTACCCTAAGTGAGTGAAACTAACTAGGCCCCTGGCTCTCAAGGATTTTACAAGTACAATAAGTAAAAAGATTTTAAATAAACAATGATTTGAATAGGCACTTACAAATAAGGGTAAATGCTAAAAAGGAGAACAACTGAGTCCTGTGGAATGCATACAACGGAGAAGGGACCTATTCTGAGGCTTGGAGAGGAACGGGTTGTGCAGGGGTGAAGGAGAGCACTCTAGGCAGATGAAACGGCACAGGACAGTCTGAGACCTAGATGACAACCAGAGAGACTTCAATCAAGAAATCCAGGGCCGGTCCCGTGGCCCAGTGGTTAAGTTTGGTGCACTCCACTTTGGCGGCCAGGGTTTGGTTCCTGGGCACGGACCTACATCCCTTGTCGGTGGCCATGCTGTGGTGGTGACCCACATACAAAATAGAGGAAGACTGGCACAGATGTTAGCTCAGGGTGAATCTTCCTCAGCACAAAAAAAAAAAGGAAAAGAAATCCAGAGGGGCTGGGACATGGAACAGCCTGGAGAGGCAGTGGGCTTTGTAGATCAAGTTCATGACTTTTGTATTTACCACAAGAGCACGGAGAGACAGAGGGTTGGAAGCAGGCTACTGATAGAATCAGAATTAAAGTAACCCTCATCTTGCAATTATGGCAACTGAGGCATAGAGGTTAGCCAGGACACTGGCCGAGGTTTCATCCTAAGTGCCAAAGTGGGATTTTAACCCCAAGCCACATGACACCAAAGACCACACTCTTAATTACTGTTAAAATGATTCTAAAAGATAAGGGCAAGGAAGCCAGTTAGAATGTTCCAATAATCCAGGCATTACAGTAATCTGATGGAGGTCTGGAGTAGGGGAGAGATGGTGGGGATGGGAGGGGAGACTGGACTTGATGAATATCTAGGAGATCAACTGGCAGGACATGGCGATTGTATTCCTGTTTCTTCCCATGGACGATGAGGTCCTTGAAGAGGGTACCTGCGAGTATGTTGGGAGCTTGACCGATCTTTGTGGACTATTTCACCAACGAGGAACAGAAAGAGAAAAGAAATCTGTACTACATACCAGTCACATTTTGATTCATATTTTAGAATACAAATATAGTTGTTAAAGTATGAAATACATCATAGTTAAATGAAATAATTTGCAAAACAATAAGCTAGCTTCTGACCAATTTTCTTGTAGTGATGTACATATAGAATGTACAGAATGTATTCAGGATTATTACTTTTGGACACACATGAAAATTAAGTTGACTGTGATGATAAAGTCAAATACTACTGTTCAGACACATACATTGAAAACAACCTTCCTAATTGAGTCTGAGAGTAACCAGGTTCTGACACACACACGTGCGCTAAAATTAAAAAAAAAACACGCAGGAGTATGCACACACAGTGCATAAGGCATTGTAGAGAACAACACCATGAGTATAACGAACTGGCTTTACCATTATGAAACAATTCAACATAAAACCATTTCTCCTACACTTTCAACTGAATGATTTGCTGGTTTTTACTTTTTACATACATTCTTCTATCCGGGTGAGATATATGGTTTGATCATCAACTACCAAACTCTTTGACCTCCAAATTTACTTTTATTTCTTCAAACCAAATGAGGTACCCAAAGGTTTTGTAGGTTTTTTTTCCCCCCACAACATAATCTTTGAAAATGCAGCAACCTAAGTAATTGTGGATTCATCTAAACAAGATAATTACATTCTGCTTCTTCATGGACAATTCAGAAAGAAAACTGAGGAGTTAAACGCACATTTCTGATAATTTAGTCAAGAAAAGGTGTTAATGAAAGTAATTTACGTGTTTGTTTCACACATCAGGAGCATCATGAATTAATATCCCACATATTCTACAGAACTCATAATTGCAGTTAAATTGACTATTTGGTATATTTACATAATCTTGTATGTCTTGGTACAAAATGATTATTCTCCTGAATTTTCAACTGCAGGCATATATAACCCATGATATTGTGACTCCTTCTTACTTTTTCCAGTGACTGTCTTAAAATAGATGACCAGTGATGTTTTTTGAATGAATGAACAAAAGATCAGCTATTAAATATGGGAAATTGTTGCACTATTGTTCAGTGAATAAGTTCCTGAACTCTTTCAGTTGAGAGCAGAGAATTTACACACATATTCAAGTCAGATGTAACAGAATGATTGTTCTCACTTTGTATGTGCATAAACTCTAAATTCTTCATCGTATGTGACTGACCATAGGTTTTTGAAATAACTAGCCACATGAACAACTAAGATCTTGTTACTAAATTATCCATTTATTTAATTTGTCTCCAAATTTTTTCCATTTGTTGGCATTATCTATGTTCATATAAAAAGCAAGGACATACCTCAGCCCAGAATTCAGCATATATATCATTTGCCGTCAATTTTGTAACTGGCCACAGTTTTGTTACTGAGCATAAATCACAGGCAGTCATCATCAAACCAATGACACGGTCTCTAGAACACAATACAAAACTGGTCAGTGCAGCACTTGTACATTTGTAATAAGAACCAGAAAGACTTCTGCATTTTCAGGAATGAGACTTAGGTTGACATTACTTCATGATGAGGGAAGGACCGCATTACAGAGCAGATACAACTAACAGGAAGGAAAGAAAAGCAGAATTAAAAAACATTTTGTTCATTTAATTGTAAGAATATCAGTCACTTCTATTACTGGTTCCATGAAGAGTATATCATATGTGCTGGTTGCCTCATTACTGCAGAAATCAAATACAGTGTGGGCACAGCTCTGTTACCATCCAAATCTGCTGGTACATTTTTATAGCCGTGGACCAGATTTTCATTTTCATGAAATTTAGAGTGGAAAGGAAAAAATCTATCCCATTTCTTTCATTTCATAGAAGGAAAATCTAAGGTGCAAAGAAATGAAATGACTTCTCCAAGGTGGAAGCAGTTCAAGACAAGGCCAGAGTAGACGCAGGTCTGCAGCATCCTCTCTCGCGTCCCCACGTGCAGACAACAGACGCAGTGGGAGCAGTTTCCAAACACTGCAAACTCTAACCTCCCAACTGAAATGAGTTTTCTTTTTCAGTTGCTTTGCATTCACAATGGTGTGTTCCATGTCCGACTTGAAAAAAAAAATATATATATGGCTTGGTTTAGTATTTCCTCTTGCAGAAAAAGAAAAATTGCTCGAAGAATTCAAACAGCCATATCCACTATAGTTTCAGAGGATTTGTTCTAGTGACAGGTGGTTACCCTAAATGAAGTCTACACTTAATGGCAGCACTAAGCACTACTTATTAAGGAATTTTAACATACTGACTTTGCCTTTTATGAAGCAAACTATGTAACTTTAAAAGGCAAATTATCAAGAAAGACACAAAACTGTATAACAACTGGGACGACATTGGATGTTGTCTCCAGCTTGTACCTAAATTTAATTAGTCTTAGGAACCCATTGCTGCTAATGGCTGCCTCACTCCTTGTAGGTCCACAGACACTCCCCATCTGAGGGCATCATCCTGTCCTGGGTCCTGAGCCCGTCCTGACCAGGGCAGACAGCATTTTAAGAGTGTCCTTCTGTCACACTGGCAGAGTTTCTGGTTTAGTTGTGCTCCCTGAAGGGAAGGTTCCTGGACACCTGGGAGATGCTCCTTTGTCTACTACCCAAGTCTTTGATGCCAATCAGCTGCAAGGTTCTTTTATTTCCAATCAGCCCAATTCCTTTAGCCCATTTGCCTGATTAAATGATCTTTTCCACAGCCTTACTTTTCATAAGGACACACGTCAAAGGTATCATGTCTCTAACAGGGAAGATGAGATAACCATATCAACATTGATGAGACTTATTCGTACCCTTCCTGTGACCCAAATAGATGCCATGTGAAGACCCAAAGCCCTTAAAATGATCAGGGAACTCTATTTTGTGTGTGTGTGTGTGTGTGTGAGGAAGACTGGCCCTGAGCTAACATCTGCCAATCCTCCTCTTTTTGCTGAGGAAGACTGGCCCTGGGCTAACATCCATGCCCATCTTCCTCCACTTTATATGTGATGCCGCCACAGCATGGCCTGACAAGCAGTGCGTCGGTGCGTGCCCAGGATCCGAACCCACGAACCTTGGGCCCCGGCAGCGGAGCGCGTGCACGTTTTTAACCACTTGCGCCACTGGGCTGGCCCCAGGGAACTCTATTTTTTTGATGAGGTGGATTCCTAAGCACTTTGTGGTTTAAAGGAAGAATATTTATTTCTGGATTTGGGCTTCTAAATGAATGAGCATGTTACCTGTTTGCTCAACAGGTAAATTCATTTAAACAGAAACAGAACAAGAAAAAAACTATTATTCTGTTTATAAATAATTATTTCATGACATTGAAACAATTCAATCTCATTCAATCTATATTTACCAAAAAAAAACACAACAGTTATTTTTCTTGGCTAAATATTCTAATAAGCTTTATCTTAAAAAAGATTTCTTATCTCATAAATCTATGAAACAAAAAAAATGTTCATAGGATGGGACACGGTAAAACACATGAAAACAATTTGTCCACTGGAACTGATTCCACTGGTAACATTGCTATTACTATGGTTGGAAAGATCATGAACTAGTTACCATTTAGATTTAGCTGTCAAAATTACTTAGACAAGGGGCCCGGCCCCATGGCCGAGTGGTTAAAGTTCCACTTGCTTTTCTTCAGGAGCCCGGGTTAGTGGGTCCGGAATCCCAGGCGCAGACTTATTCCACTCATCAGCCATGCTGTGGCAGCATCCCACATACAAAATAGAGGAAGACTGGCACAGATGTTAGCTCAGGGTTAATCTTTCTCAAGCAAAAAAAGAGGAAGATATGCAATGGATGTTAGCTCTGGGCAAATTTTTCTCACCAAAAAAAAAGAATAAAAATTACTTAGACAAAACAATTTAACGGTAGTTATTTTATTCTTAACCAAAAAAATAAGCAAATAAAACAGATAAATTTTGTATTAAATACCTTTAATAAATAGACTTACTCATTTTTTACTCTCAATGACAAATCAGTTAGATGGTAGATGGTCATGGTTGTCCAGAAATATTAATCTGAACTGGAATGGTTTTATTTCTTTCCATGAATGGAATATAGACCCAACTCATACAGATCCCTAATTCACAACGTGTTCTAATAACCAACTGTGAGAGGGATGGAGATCATGCTGACTACTCTTGGTTTGACTTTGTAGAACCTTGTCACTAAGAACAATGAAGTAAGGGCTCCACACAACGCCTATGTTACAGACGATTCTCAGGCAAGTAATTTTAGGGGGTTTGACTATTTTCATTTATTCCAAAAGGTTTTTAATGCCTGTTATGAATCAAGCACAGTTACAGCAACGAACAAAATGATGCTGATCTTGTAGAACTACTTCTAGTGGAGAGAAGCAGAAAATGATGTTAGAAAATTTCATGAAACAAGTCTGTGTAAAAAATATTTAAAAAGAGGCAAAAACATGAAGATCTGTGAGAGCATTCCAGTAGAGATGATAGTGTGTGTAGTGTGTTTTAGGAACAACGAGAAAGCCAGTCTGGCTGAAAAGCAGGAATGAGGTGAACATGCGGTACCGCTAAGTCTGGAGACAAGCCAGGACTTTAACTTTTATTTCAAGTCTGATGGTAAGACACTGGAGACTGTGAGCAGACAAGTGACATGAAACATGGTTTAAAGAGATCCCCCAGGTCTTCTTGGTAGAGAAGGAATTGTAGGGGGGCAAGAGAGGATGCGGAGAGATAACTGAGGCGAACACCCCAGTAGTCCAGATGAGAGATGATGGCAGCTTGAATTAGGATGACGATAGTGGAGACAGGAAAGTAGGAGGATTCTAGACGTTAGAGGGAGAGCCAGGTTGAAATATGTTAACATCTACAGGAGTTATGACAACCCAGCTGCAGAACCAAAACCACAGAAAAGATTTTAGAATCTTACTGTTTCCAATAACATGAATGATAACTCCTTAATATAAGCATAACCATGATAGAGTGGTGATCTCACTAAAATAAACTTTAAATGTAAGTTCTCAACCCTTCATTTCATAGAACCCTAAATATGTTGCTTCTTTTAAAAATACCATTGAGAAGGAAAAAAAAACAAAAAAAAAAAAGGAGAAAGAAATTATATGTGAACAAAGTATCAATCTTGAGCAAAGGAGTATCACAGAGGGATTTGCTGTTATTAAAAAATATTGTAACTTAAAATTTACTTGCCTAACAAAATCCTTGTATTATTCCTAGAGTTGAAAACTCTTACAGGTGAAGACACTAGTGATGTCACTTTAGAACTCAGTTTCCCCACATTTCAAGTTCTTCAGTTGAAACACACAACATACTCAGCAGAATGAGGCCCTTGTGCATTTACTACGGCAGGTAAAGACTGAAGGATGCTGTCACATTCAAAATAGGCTAGTGGCAACCAGGTCACGGTCTAAGAATAAAACACACCACACAGACACGTCTTGTCCTTCGAAATACATAGCAGTAGCTATGCAAAAGTACACAACTTTTCTAGTTCTATTTCTGAATTGTTTGAAGAATTGTTCACGTGTTTAATATTATACCCTTTCTTTGATGTGTGCTTAAATCTAAATTAAGGAAAGACTTTGGAAGAAGCGGGGCACAGGAATGTCTTTGAAGGGCACAACTATTCCCTGGGATTCAGAGAATAAACATTCTCATTTGCATGTTTCCTATTGCTCTCAGGGATACAAAACTTTGAAATTCGCTTATTTTTAAAATACATGTTTGAGGAAGGCAGTTTCAACACGAAATACATGGAAATAGAAATTATAAAACCTACCAACCACTCATATATCTGTCATTTTCATATTTAAAAGTATGCTTTAATTTGATTTCATAGCTTAAACCCCATTGGTTTGCGGAAGTGGTCCTCAGGCAAGACTGTAAGTGTCTCTCCATTAGGAAAGTAATGTAATTCAAGAACAACGCTGTAATTCAAGAATAATGCTCTGATTTCTGTGGACGTTCTGGTCAGTTTTTAATCAAAAGGAGACAATGATCACAGTTTCAGTGAGAAACAATAAAGCTACCCTTTGCCTACCCTTGGCTCGAGTCTAGAGTTGGTTTTCAAACATGACATTAACTTCTAGTTGTGTTTAATTGTGGGAGAGAAAGAGTTTTGAAGGAAAATTTCAGTAAAGAAAGCAATTAGTTTACAATTCCTGTTTCTCTCTGTGGTTCCCTATGTTTCTCCTCCTCTCCATCTGTTACATCACTAGCAAGTCCCCTGTTATAAGTTAAGACTTAAACTTGTCTAATAATTCATTTCTGCAACCCTAAAATCACTTACCTGGCTCTGCTATTTAAAAAGTTTCAAGAACTTCTTCATTATCAAATGTAAGATATTTCTGAAAACTAAGCTATGTATGTCTAATATAAAAGGGAATTATTCATCTGCATTTGAAAGACACATAGCAACGACTTTCATACACAGTTGGTCTCTGGTT